GTGGGGGAACTTGCACAATCGGTGGCTGACTAAATACTTTTTTGCCCCACTGTAGTTCACTTTCACTGTTTTTCATGTGCTGCTGGTGATGCTTCCAGTGACCACACAGAGGCTCGCTCAGAAATACCAAAATAATGACATCACACCGGCGCTCACAGCCTCAGCACATCCTTTCTACTCCTCCCTGTGATGCGTTCGTGGTGCAGACGTAGAGCTGAGGTCGCTGTACTTCAGCTTCATATGAAAAGCATAGACTGTTTTAAAATCAGGCACACAACTCATGCTGAGCGTGTTCCAGTTAGCCATAAAGAGCATCAGAGCGGCAGCGCAGGTCAGCTGATCAGAGCCTCACGTTCATTCATTTCAAAGTTCTTGTTTTACCCTCGCTGCACTCCTACATCTGATATTACAGACCCTGCCAAACCCCGGTTTAACCCAGACTTATAAAAATAATAATAATAATGAAAAGAAGAGAGTGCATTTTTTGATGCTTTATTCTGATGAAATGAAACATTTGAACAATAAAAAATAAGAAAAAATGAAATCAGAAAAAGTACAAAAACAATAAATAATAAATACATATAAATAAATAAAGGTATAAATAAAATATATGATTATCAGTACTCCTTGGTGGGCGTGGCAAAGGATTTTTTCATTGGGCGTGGCTCCAGTTGAAGCAGGACCTGTGTATCTGCTGGGTGGACTTTAGGACCCAGATCACATCTCTCCTCAGAGCCTCCCAACCACACGCTGCACTGTCCTGTGAGACACGACAAGATACGCACACTCAGCTCTCATTGGTCCACACACAGTGACTCAAACATGTCATTTATTAAGACGAAGCTTTAATAAAATCTTTAATAATTTTATATCGTTCATTTGATGTTGAATTGATTTAATAAAAATATATTTATTACTCGTGACGTTTTATGAATCAGACTGCAGAGATCAATTTTTACCTGCTGCTCAATGACTGCTGTGACGTTACTGAAGTACGACGACAGCAGACCTGATGCTTCCTCATCCGAGGGCAGCTGCGGAGACACGGACCGTCAAATCACAGCAACAGGAGGCTGGTTCTACAGGGACAAGTTCTACACAGGCTGATTCTACATAGGCTGGTTTTACAGAGACCATCAGACCTTAGACCAGTTCTACAGAAACTACAGATTACAGAGACCACAATGACTGAGGCGGTTCTACTGAGATGGGCTCTGGTACTCACACAGCGACCCTCATCCTGCAGACGGTCCTGCAGGGTGAAGAATTCTTCGAGTTTCTTCTCGTCCCAGTTGACTCCGCCATCTCCCACAGGTAGCTCGTGTTCCTCGTACGTCAGCCACATGCCTTCGAGTAACTTGTAGACGACCCACAGTACTCGGGGACACTGAGGTGGACCAATGAGAAATCAGGTCATATCCAGACATAGAAAACAAAGCTCTATGAGAGCCGACAGGCCACGGTGAAGTTTACCTGAGATCGATTGGCTGCAGTGGTGGGGAGGGTGGAGTCTGGAAAGGAGATATTGGCGTTGACCGGCCGGCAGTGGAGAGGAAATTTCGGTCCCTACAGGACAAACAGGAATCACTAAATTTTTATGGACAGATGACCGACTAACAGCAGCTGATGTTAAGGTCTGAGGGTTTCCGTTCCTACCGTGGCGTTGAGTAGATGGTGGGCTCCCGTAACCACTCTTCCTGTCAGAGGACGGCACCGCGGCGTTGGCTTGGCAACCAGCATCATCTGGAGACCAAAGAGCGGCAAGAGAATGAGGAGGACGGTGGAGGGCGCCATGAGAGCCGAGCGGGTCCTTGTCTGGTCTGAGGTGTGTGCTGTGTGAGCCGGCAGGTAACCTGGAACAGACAGAAGCAGATGGGCTGGATGTCAGCACATCAGCCAATGAGAGGACATCTACCTGTGTGACTCACTCACAAACCACTAAGAATCTGATTGAAAGCACAACCTGGACCCTCTACTGCCAGGTGAGTCACTAGAGGAGTGGTGTAAAGCTCATTAACAGGTATTTATGAAAAAAAAACCAACATCGGTGAGTAGTTAGACGTGTCCGCATATTTATGGTCATATCTTTGGTTTCAGATACGTAAAACGTCCCAAACAGTTTCCCTGACGCTTACTACCCATCTAAATGCCTGAAACGGGATGTGACATCACAGCTCTGAGAGAAGTAAAGGTAGCTACAGTCACCAAAGCTGAACTCTGACCTGTGAGCGATCGGCCGGACTGATACCGGGCGCTTTGAGCGAATGGTATTTGTAGTGTGCCGAGGTGACGTGTCGCTCGCTCAGCTCCTATCAGACATAAAAACACAACACTCTTTCCAGTCAGCAGGTTTTCCCGCCGCGCCTCGGAGCGTTGGTGGAATTATTCGTCAGAGCTACGAGACCCGATCGGGCGCCAACCGTCAGCTGACGTTCTCGTCTCGCATCATGAGTGGAAAATTCACGTTCTGACTCTAATGAAGAAGAAAAGTCCTGAAAGTCAATGAGTCACTTATCTGAAGCTTTGGCCCTGAAATGAAACTTAAAGCGCCTTCGTTAGCGCCTTACTGCTAATCATCAGGGGCTTTTAATCACCGGCACAGAGGGACCCGAAGCCAAATTGTTCAAAATGCAACTTCATTCAACAGCACAGAGCTCGCAGGCAGCCAGGGCATAACGCTAAAAAGTCTTCAAACTTTATTAAAACCCTCAAAACCTCTTTTAAATCTTCTAACTAATTAGGAACAAAATCATTATAAATTTGAGTTTTACTTGGTATTTTTTGAAGGATCGGGGGGTTTTTTTGGCACTGATGATGTAGAGCTCTGAAACCCTGTGACACAAAAATGTTTCATATTTGCCACATTTCTGTTTCACAGGGTTAAAAACCAGCTGATGTTTATCCAAACTGCAGACTTCATTCATCAAATTACAAATAAAGCTGTCCTAGACATAAATGATCAAAGATTTTAGGAAACAGTAACTGAAAGTTCAACAGCTGACTGAGCAATAGAAAATCAATAATGGCATCAGGTTTCAAGCTGTTGTTCTAATGAAATATGTTTAATCCAGAAGTCTGAGGATTAATCTGAGGATATCAATAAAGCCCACAGCTGATCTAAAACTGCTTCAGTGCTTTGATATCTGAGTCGAGACACTCACCGTTGGCAGGGGTGCTGCAGGGTTGGAGGTGTTGGAGGTATCGGAGGTCTGCGCTGATCTGGTTCTTCCTCTGGTGGTTGTTGTGGTTCTGATGAGAGTCTGTGTCATGTTGTGGTTTAAATAAAGCTTCATCCTGGAAAGCAGTAAATGAAACTCTGATGCATTCAACAAAAATTAAACATTTCTAAGAACTTCTGGAAATTTCCCAACCTCAGGCCCCACTGCATCCTGGCCACCCCCTCAGGGTGCGAGGTGGCGCGCGAGCCTTCGCTTTGCAACTGCTGACTCAACATGGTAAGAAATCCAGCAACAGCAGAGATGCACAAAACATATGGAAACATTGACGGTCAAAAGTTTATGGACAGCTGACGTCAGCTACATGTGTCGTCAGCTGGAGGCCCCAGACACTTTAATGAAGTGCTCCGTGTCTCAAAGAGCACTTTCAAAAAGTAATCACATTACTGCAGTAACACTTCAGTGTGCAGTGTCAAAGCAAAAAGTTTTCAAATGGGCAGAAGAATCAAAAGCTCTGATGTGATGTTAGCTCCACAAGATCATTACTGTTCACTCAAACTAAGACTTGATGTGAACATGTTTTTAACTACACTAAAATAACATTAAAAGTTTTAAAAACAATGAAACTCAATGAAATGATTTTATAAACTTGGAAAACTATATCAATAAAATCTACACAAAGGAGAAACAGAAGCAAACTCACAAACTGTAAATATGTCAGCTGCTTCATTAGTTTATTTGATTTTGAAACAAACTGTGACAGAAGTGTGCAGCTGGTTAAAGTGCAACAATAATTATGTTCAAGTCTTATAAAAACTAGAACTACTTCAGTTGAATCTTAAATGAAAAACTACAAAATAAACAAAACTACAGAATTAAATACACTTTTAAAATAATGATGTAAATGAACGAGGTAACAAGTCAAACAAGTCAAAAATAAAAGTACTAATCTGTAGCCTGATGTCATCAAAGCAGATACATATTAGACAAACACAGACCTTTGTAATTACTTATTGTTCATTTTCTCTTATATGTTGTTTTTGCTGGTGAAATACTTGAAAAACTGACCAAGTATTGAGAATCAGCTCATTATTGCCCCAAAAAACTCAGTTTGGTTTAAACTGCGAGCTATCGAACCTGCCAGGAAAAATCTGTAGTTAATTTACTGTTACACAGTCAACCAGCTGGTGTTAGGACTATTCTGTATCCTGCAGTTTTTCTCCTCACTTTTCTGTCCTTGTGTGTGTGTCCTGTAAAACTCCTCCAGTGGTCAGTCAGTTATAAACTCAAAAATAAAGTGCACTGTCATCGCCTGATTCTGATTGGATGATTGGAATGCTGACTCCTCATTAAACACAAAAGTTTGTGAACATCTGAGTTTTGCCGAAAGTCAAAAGTAAGGAGATAAAATACAGATCAAAGGTTGGATGATCGATGGATGGATGGTCGATGGGTGGATGGTCGATGGGTGGATGGTCGATGGATGGATGGTCGATGGGTGGATGGTCGATGGGTGGATGATCAATGGATGGATGGATGGTCGATGGGTGGATGGTTGTTTTATTTTGGTGGTTTCACTTTGGTTTTGTTTATGCTTATGTGCTGAATTTGAATCGGAGACGCAGTTCAGAGATGTGCTGTTTGAAGCGATTGCTCTGTAATGATCCATGTTTCTCATTCAGAAAATAAAGGATTAATATGCAGTTTGTAGTTTTTCATGAAACAAACACTTTGATTTCCTGCTGCTTGTTCCCTTTGAGTCACATGGAAACAATGATGTCTCTTGTAGTTTCTCAGTAAGTGTTCATGGACAGAACTGTCCTCGTCCTTGTGTTTGCGTCTATGAATCAAAGTAAAACCTGTGAGTTTCGTCACAGGAAGCGGTTTAACGCTTCAGTTTATGTTTACAGAGAAGAAGAGAGAGCAGTAGAGAGGCAGGAAGTGCAGCTTCAGTCACATTTAGACAGAAAAGAAAGAAGGAAGGAAGCGTGGAGCTCCTCTGTGGAGAAATGAGATCTCGGCGAGTGTTTCGTTTTCCACTTCAGCTTCGACGAGTCGCTCAGTGTCACCAAGCGCGGGGCGAGTGACGCTGAAACTGAAGCGAGCTGCAGAGTCAGAGCGACACTGAGCCGAGGCCGAGGCAGCTTTTACCCTAAAGTACTCGAATGACTGATTCTGCTTCCAGCCGCAGGAAGTTTGCGCTTCATCGGAAAGCTCCCATCACATGTTACCGATGATCAGCAGTGTGTTTAAACATGAAACACGATGTGCTGTTTCTGATAGAATAGAATTGAATAGCCCTTTCATGTCTTTAATGAGTTGTGGGTCCTCCACACTAACTGTGCAGGGATAAGACATAAACGTAGACAGATGATGCACACACATCTGAGTCCTCTCTGCACCTAAAGATGATCTACTGACAGTAGAATCAGTTTTCACCTGTTTGATGCCTGACGAATTATTAAAGTGATTAAAAATTAACCTTTAAGACTGAAAAAACTGACCTGAAACACACAGGTCACCATCCCTGACCCCTGACCCCTGAGGGTGACCCCACTGCTCTGATGCCAAACTAACTGCAGCTGCCTTTGAGCGGCTCATCTGCGAGCCATTCTCAGACTAACATGAACTCTGTGCAACATTAATCTGTTCCTCATTAAATATGCTGCCTCCCAGTCCCTCCCACATGTGAGCAATAATTAAAGACTTTTTAATTTTAACGCAATAAAAATAATGCAACATTCGGGTCGTTCTGCCTGCAAAACTCAATACACTGACATAACACCAGAGATGGGTAGTAACGGATTACATTACTGTAATCTGATTACTTTTTTCAAGTAACGTATCGAGTGCAGAGAGAGTATGAGCGTGCAGCGTTTAAAGCGTGGAAGTACTGACCTTACTTTGAGTTTGATTCCATAAAAAGTGACAAAAACATTAGTGTCCGCTGTGCGCAGGAAGAAAACTTCTTTTTACAGCTAAAAACCCCTAAACTTCCAACAAGCACCGAGTAGCTACGACGTAATGGGAAACTCACAGAGAAACTCGCGGATTCTTCCACTGACCGCGGCACACCTGCACCAGGGTAAACCTCCGCCTGCCCCACTCCTGCTTTACAGGTGAAAATAGAGCAACAGGACCGCTGAGTCTTTGACTTTATTTATTTTCTGCTGTGTTTTACTTGCATCTATTTGAAAGACTGAGTGTAAACACAAAAAATATTTTATTTTATGTGCTGGAATGTGCAGAAAATAGGTTTAAATGTTAAACTAATTTCTTCCCGTCAGAGAATGTTGCATATAATTAAATCTTTGCTTGATGCATAAAGTTAAAAGATTAAAACTAATAAAACAAGTTTTAAAAAGAGACTTTTCCATTTGATTACATTTTATACGATGGATTATGCAGAAAAAGTAGAACTGGGCTGAAAGATCTATCGCTTTATCACCTCTTGTTAAAGAAAATGTTCTAAAACACTTCTTCAGTAAAGACTCAGAGAAGAGAAACACACAGAACTTCTTGCTAGCAAGTGTAACCCATATCAACTACTCCCTGTCACATGACCCACGTCAGCTGATTTGAGGTCCCTCTTCTGATTGGCTCCTTTCACGTCGCGGC